GTGGTGCGTCTTCAGTTACAGTTCTACTCCTCATCATGATGGCGTGCAACCCCTCCTTATGATTTCAAAGGTTTGGCAGGCGTTGGCTAGGAAATGTGTCAGCTGATCTGGAAGCAAGGGCATCTGCCAAGTGCCCAGTTTTAGTGTCCATATCATGGATAAGTGCTTGTTGGTGCCTCCGGCTAGCTCCAATCTAAATAAATTTTCCCGCAACTACTTCCACGAATTGCTCTCGTTTACTGAACTTTAGGGTACTGGTGCTGGCCAGGGTTGTCACTAGATCCATCTTTCTACACGCGATCACCCGATGCTGGGATTGATGGAGATGCACCAGACTACTGGTACTATTGCTGCTGTAGGGGTTGTTGAAAAGCCTGCCCCTGTCTAGGCTGAAAAATGGTTCGACATTTGACCCGGGCAGGGCTGGTATGGCGGCCTCTAGTTTTGAAATCACCTGCAGGAGCCTGGAAGCCAAGTGGCTTGGCATTTTTGTTGCTACTCCAGGAGCAATCAGGATGCTAGTGTCATCCCTCGTTGTATGTATAACTATAGGAGTCGTTGCGCGAGCATTATTAATGAAATTCAGCTGCTCCTGCGGTGTATTGGACTCTCGCATAGCTTGGCAGTCCTCCTCCTGTGATTGGTGCTCTCACACCATTGGAAATACATCGCCTGTTGTTGCCCTGTACCTGGAACCATCTCATTCCAATAAATCAGTGAAAGCAGTTTAGAGACAACCTGCACCAAACTCAGTTGATTGGGTGTCCACATCATGTACACCGCGGCCTGGTACTCGCCGATACCTCCGAGCAGTCCCCCAATCATATCATCTCTTTATCATCTCCTCAAAAATCTGGTTCAATTGCGGCGACATCTTCGCTAGCATGTTCCTGCCAAAAACCGCGTCGATCAGCTGCCTATCCTTAGGAAAGAGGGACTGATAGAAGGTACCCACTTTGAAAGCATTGTTGAAACCATAATTGGGACACTTCTGGAAGAGACTTGTGTATCTCTCCCAGGCGTCCCGGATGGTTTCGTCCTCTTCCTGGGCAAAGTGGGTGATCTCCTCCAGAAGGTCTGCCATTTTATATGGAGGATGATAGCTGGTCAGGAATTTGTTGGCCAGATCAGTGAATGTAGTGATCGATCCCAGAGGCCGGTTGTCCAGCCACATCTTGGCATGTCCCTCCAGAGTAAATGGGAAGTACCTGAGCTGGATGGCATCTTGAGGGACTCCATTGATCTTGATTCCATCAATCAGCTCGGGAATCTTCACAGCTGCGCGCGAGGGCACTCGCCTGACTTCCCAAGGAACACCACTGAGCCTCTCAGCATGGTGATAACAGATGGTCTCACCTTAAAGTTGTTGGCAAAAACTTGAGGGTGTTGGATTCTGGACCTCATGTCGGAGGCTTTGACGATCCAGTAGTATCTCATGGTTTGCTCCTCAGGGACAACCGCCCATTAGGATTGGATTCACCCATTTCCTCCTCATGGTTGATGTTCAGATGAGCTAAAGCTTCCTCGGCAGCCAGTCGCGCATTTAAAGCTCTCTTAAAGCTGAGACAAGTCCTTTCAAGCTCATGGTCCAATGATTTTAGAACTCCCGACAGGCTACGGGTCATGCACTACCTGCACACTGACGAAAAACACAACCTGTGAAGGCACACAGGTGGAAAAGAGAGAATGCGGAAAAGTAAATGCTAAAGTAACAGAGTTTCAGGTTTCTCCAATAACCTAGAAGTCCCTAGCAACGGCGCCAAAAACTTGACTCGCTAAAACACAACTCCTAACAATGGCCAAGTGTAACCAATGAAAGGGACTGCGGTATAGTGGCACAAAATAAATATTGAAGTCTCTGGAATTACTATTACTCAGCTTCAGTTCATTATCTACCAAACCATATTAAGATTTGATTAACTAAACTACTCTACAAGCTAAACTAGGTAAAACCTATAATTACAGGTTGGGATCTCACTTTGGTCTGATTCCCCTAGCTCCTCAATTAGGTCAAAATTGTAATTTCATTCGGTCGTTTTACGGTTGATTAAACTGTGGAAGATCCAAAAATAGCTTGAAATCTTTTAAGATGACCAAGCCCTCTTAGACAGAATACCCGACAGGCGAGTAGCCTTCACCGGTATAAACTGCTAAGGCCATTCACAATAATCCCATCTACTGGAAACAAATTTTACTACAAAGCAGTGAATTGACTGACTCTCGTGAAATCAATTCACACCTATAAATTGAAGACTCTCTATCAACCTAATCCGATTCTATCTATCATAGATTAAAGGAGAAATCAATAGAATGTGATCAAGATTCGATTGACTGAACAAAACATGCCTCAATTGATTATAGTCAAATAATATAGCATCCAAAGATTCAAACAACAAAGATCATAACACATGGAACTAGGGTTCCTCAAAACCTAAGTGAAAATGAGGTTTACTCCATAGAGAGAGAGAGGAAAACTGAAATCAAGGCAGTCATACTCATAATGATGTGTATAATCTGCTCTGCGATGTCAATTCTCAATCCTGGAGATGCAGTATGTGCTTCAATGGTAAGAAATCCACTCCAAATACCTCTTAGGGTTTGTTTTTCGTCACTTTCTCTCTTTAGAAATATGTTTTTGCTCCAAAAATTGAATCCCATTCCTTTGGCTCGAATCTGCCTATTACCCTGATATTGGGTGAAATACAGGCAAGAATACGTTCGTATTTCTCCTCTGCCCGTATTTTGCCCAAAACACGCGTTTTGGTTAAGTTGAGACGGAGAAATGCATGGTAGCATATGGGAAAATACTGACAGAATTCTGAAAATTATCGGAAGTATTTTGAAAAGTACTGGCGGTATTTTTGTCTTTGTCTGCCTGTAATTTGCTTTCCTTCATCATTCTTCAAGGGTTAGCCTCGGTCATAGAAATACGAGCTGGACGCTCGAGAAATACAATCGTATTTATGAGAAGCTTGACCGTAATTCTCACATGCACCTTCACCATGCTCGACATAAAAAATACCGGCAGTAATCATGTGAATCACGGTTGTATTTGGGTAGGGGACGACGGTAATTTGTCTCCAGAACCACTAAATGATCTCCAAACGATTCGAAACTTGCGCCTAAACCTTCCTTTACCTACTAGGACCTGAAATGTTACAAAATAGAACAACGTAGCGTAATATTGGCCAAGGAACCACAATCTCGAGTTAAACGATTAAGTAACAAGGATGCAAACATGTGCAAATATGACGCTATCAGTGTCCGCGTATGAAGTCTGCAGTACAATGCAGTAGTGTCAAACTCCGGACCATTGTCCTGTTGTAGGCGACGAACTTCTTTACCAAACCGTGTTCGCACCATATGAAAGAAGGCCAATAAGTGCCGCCCAACATCATATTTAAATCTCAACAAATAAACCCAAACCGGTCTGCTATGATCATTAACAATCTTCAGAAAATATTTTGCACCCAAGAGCGAAGGAATTAATAGCCTCCCCAAAAATCCAACTGAATGAGTTCAAAGCAAGACTTAGTTGTAATGTAGCTAGACTGAAAAGGATCACAAGCTTGCTTTGCTTGAATACAAGAATGACAAGGAAAATTCTGCTGCAAAAGAGCTGTTGAGATAAATTTATGCAAAGCTGCCAACTTTACCACGACTATATGGCTTAACCGCGCAGTGCCTGAGTGCTGTTTTATCTACTGCTTGACGAGTCGTATGCGCCACTGGTTGACGCTCATCATAAGTTGGAGATAATACAACACATCCACATGCTTACCCATCCCACCAATCAGCTTCCAGGATGGTAATTCTGAACAATACAAAAGTCACCAAGAAATATTAAGGCTATCGGGAGATCAGCCGTGAGCCTACTGACTGAGAGCGGATTGCAGTGATAATCTAGTATATATAAAAGTCTGAGTAGGAATAATCCATTAGGCAATTTAACTGAACCAATACTCTAAACTAGAAGCATTATTCCATTCGGTATCCGAACCTGTAACGTTGGAGCTGACTAGTCCACAACACCGAATTTATGTGGTTTCCCCATTCATGAATGAACTAGACTAGTCCACGGAGAACATGAGCTCTCTGCTACTTTTATTATGACTAGGTTTTCTTGATGAACTTAGGCGTATAAGCCACTACTCTTGTATATAAGAATCGAACCAGATCAACGGGTGGGCCAGTAGAACTGCCAAACCGGTTATGATAGCGGTGCGGTTCATTGCTTGAACGGTTATTGATGGACCAAACGGTTTCTCACGGTTCAACATAAAATTAGATAAACCACCACGGTTTAACTAGTCCACTAGTTCACGCATTTGAACCACAATTTTTGGTAAAAGAAATTAACGTAAACTAAGACCATCAAACTGAGATTATTAATTTTATTTCTGCTTTCTCATCTCATTCTCCAACCTCATTGTCGACTTTACGTGGTTCACTACCGACTAGCACCATAAATTTTAACTTGAATTAAAAAAAATTATGATTTCTTTTGTGAGATGGTGTGAATGGTTTGTTAGATATATTAGTAATGATATGAATTTGAAATTATTTATGGTCAATGATAATTTCATTTTTATATTAGTGTATTATACAAGTCTTGTATGTAATATATCATGAACGTTCTATTAACGATTCACCAACAATTTTGTAAGGGTTAACAACTGAACCCTAAGCCACTCTTTTTTCCGGTTCATTATCCGGTCCGGTTCCGAAAACAAAGATTCTCAGCATAGCCGACCCTATTCAACACTAAACAAGGACCTGACAAAATACAAAGAGATCCCTCAACTTAGATCTCAACTTATCAAAGAACAAAAAATATTCTAGCAATCTCAATAAATACTAAACATAATAGATGATATTTCAAAAAGAATCATATTTTCTTGGCATAAAATAGATCGGGTGCCACTTAAATTTGAGAATTGGGGTAGACATACCATTTAAGTTTGAATAGTGCTATATAATTTCATAACACCGGAACATTAAATCAAATTGAACGATAAGAAATAAGCATTTCATCGCTGGTTGGTGTATACTTGCTGGCAACTGGCAAGATATGATGTTTTCACGATATTCACGTAATACAGCTTCATTGTTGGCCACGACCGCATCTTCCATTGAAAAATTATCCCTCATTAGCACTGGTTTAAGAATAATAAGTTAGCGTCAAAGTGTAAGAACTTGAAAATCTTATCTTCTAAATTTTGAATTAAGGTCGAATGGGTAAATAAATTATAGGAGATTTATTTCATTTCAAATGGTATCTTTGACCGACTTGAGTTTAGCACCACGCCCAACTTTAAACCTGTTGACTATGTTTTTGTTTGAAGAAGTGTGTAATAGATGACATGAACCCAATAGTTCCTCTATAAATTGGTAGGAAAACCGATTTAAAGAAAAAAAATTAAGAAAAACAAGGGAGAGATATATATAGAGAAACACATGGAGCGAGCCACATCGTGCGGCGCATTCTTCTTCATCGCCATAATGTTCACATTCCTGACGAGTACCGCCGCCGTACTTGACGCCGCCAACACCGTACATTGCAGAGGTGGCCTCGTGACCGAGCACGACGTGGCAATCTACTCTGCCTACGTGGCTCACGTACTTGCCGAGCTGGCCACCGTTACGCCCACCATATCGGGATTTCAGTACGCGGCCGTGTTCCCCAACGACGCCACTGGTTCCGTCCAGGGCACGGCGACGTGTGACGGCACCACCGACGCTGGCCGCTGCATAACCTGCCTTTCGGGTCTCCAGCAGTTGCTTGGCGGCTCCTGCAGCCAGTACGAGGGCGGCGGGGCTAGAGGCGGCGGCATGATTTGCGGCATGGCTTTCGACATGGTTCACTGAAGTACCATGCAACCGCCGTCCGCCGGCCCGGTACTTCTATCCCGTCCGCCGCGGGTTCCGCTTACCGGCCGGCATGGGCATGGCTTTCTGTGTTGTTTTGTTTCCTCCGGTTATTTGGGTCTTTCGCTTTTGTTCACATCGAGGAGTCTAATTAAACGTATTTATATCATGGTCCATGAAACCGTACCGGAGACCGTACCGGGAAGGTCAGCGATGTGGTATTTTATGGTTAAACTGTGGTTTAATCGTAGTTCAACCGTTGTACCATTATATACCGCCTACCGATTTAGCATCTAATACTGGTATTTCGTAGTTGAATTACTGGTACGGTACGGTTTCATGGACCATGATTTATATCTACCTGGCCAGCTAATAAGCACCAGATGTTAAACTGTCGCTAAAGCCTAAATGATTGACGTATTTATTTGCATTTTATTTGCGAATGATTAATTAGCTCCTCAGCAGAATTGTATTACCGATTTGTTGGCCGTCAATCTTCATATCATGCACATATTTCCCCTCCGCTCTGAAATCCGGTCGCCGGTTGTTCTCCATCGCTGGCGTTTCTCTTCTAACGTCTCTCCATGGCACGATGCGCTAGTCGTCATCGGAAGCCAGAAAATTTAAAATCTGCCGACGGAAGTGAGCAAGTATCTTCCTTCATTCGCTCAGCACTTGCCGACTACTATTTGGTCATGCAAGGAGTCCTCTTTCATTCAGTTCGCTGATCTTCTTCCACCACCGAAGCAAGCTGGAGACCGGATATTAATTACACGTTCCATATTAAGATTCGTGTTTCGATTAAGACGGAGAATGCATGTAGCTAGCTGTTGGCCCTTCACACCGCCATCGAGTACTACACATTGCTATGAAAACGGTTGATGTGACTTGAATCAGACTATCAGCCACCACGACTGGAAGTCATGGGGGCCCGCGGTGTATTGGCTCAATATTATCTGGGTTCGTGTTATGGGCCTAGTCTATAACTGCTTTCGCTTTTCGAGATTGGATTAGGGTTAGACCTAGGAGAAGTACTATAAATACTTCTCATACTTCTCTGTAAACTATATCTCCTCGAAGTGTTAGTGAACCACGTAAATCGTGTGTCGTGTGTGCTTCCGTTTACTTGCATTGTCGAATCCTACGATTTTTCGATCCAAACAAAACAGTCGTGACAAGTGGTATCAGAGCATCTAGTTGGAAATCAGGCTAGGGTTTCGATTCTAAAGAATTACGTTTGTAAACATGAAGATCGAGAATTTCACTGGGGAGAACAATTTCGGTATGACTGATCAAGATGGAGGCTTTATTAAAATAGCAAGGGTTGTAAGGGCCGTTGTCTGCGAAATAAAAGAAGGCAACTGTCGATGACGATGAGTGGAATACCCTGGAGGAGAAGATCCACTCGACCATCATGCTATCTTTGTCTAAAGACGTCATCATTGAAGTCACTGCCTAGAAGACTGTCGTGAGTGTGTAGTTGAAGCTAAAGAGTCGTGTATATGACGCAGTCCTTAACCTACAAGTTGCTTCTCAAACAACAATTGTTCAGCTCGAGGATACAAGTACCGCCTTTGAGTGAACATGTTACGCAATATAGATGTGAAAGTTGATGATGAAGATGCTGCACTTATCCTGCTTTTATATTTGCCGAGTTCATACAAGAATTTTGTAGATTCTTTTATTGCTGGTAAAGATAGGTTGTTGTTGGAGAAATCTGGTAAAGGGAATTCAAACATAAACTCGAATTCTAAGGGTTCCGGTCCACAATCAAGCGATGCTTGTCACATTTGTAAGGAAGTGGGGCATTTGAAGTTCAACTGTCTCAGAAAGTGAAAGCATAAGATGAATCAACGTTTTGTTGTCGTGGTAGCAATAGAAAACAGTTCTGAAGACGATCTCTCCTTGGTGGTAGATGAGAAGGCACATCGTGGCGATGTGTGGTTTTTGGATGCTGCAGCCTCATATCATATGTCTTCGAATAAGGATTGCTTCTCAACCTACAAACAGATAGATGGTGGTAACATGGTTATAGCTAATGGAGTTGTCTACAAGGTGGATGGAATCGGGTCTATCAAGATTCAGACACATGATGGTTCATTAAGTACCATGAACGAAGTTAGTCATGTTCCACAAATGACAAAGAATCTGATCTCCTTGAGTCTTCTCGGCAACAAGGGTCTTAGTTTCAAAGGAAGAGGTAGAGTCATGTTTTTCTACAAAGTTTCAAGGAAGGTGCTGAAGGGCGTGAAATGTGGTACCTTGTATGCATTACAAGGGTTTGTGTTGTCAAGTTTTGCTGTTGTTGCATCGTGTCAGGTTAATCAGGAAGATATGACCACTCTCTGGCACATGAGATTGGGTTATATGACCGAGAGATGCAAGTTTTATCAAAGAGGGATCTTCTTTGCCGACACAAGCTGGTGAGTTTGGAATTTTGCAAGCATTCTGTGTTTGGGAAGCTACATCGTAGTAAGTTTCCTAAGAAGGGTATCCAACGAATAACAGGGATACTGGATTACCTCCACTCTGAATGCTGGTGTCCTTCTCGAGTTGAATCCATTGGAAGAAGCAAGTATTTTCTGTCTATTTTTTATAATTACTCGAGGTTTACTTGGATTTTCATGATGAAGCAGAAAAGCGAAGCCTTGATGAAGTTCAAGCAGTGGAGAATTAGAATGGGAAAAAGATCAAGAGACTTAGAGCAGACAATGGTGTGGAGTTCTGCAGTTCTGAATTCAACAAATTCTTGCAAGGATGAAGGGATTTCCCATCATCGGAACGTTAGAGAAACACCACACCAGAATGGCGTTGCAGAAAGGATGAAAAATACATTGTTGGAGAGAGCAAGGTGCATGCTCTCTAATGCTGGACTTCCCCTTCGCTCTGAAACACACATATTTCTCTTTGAGCCTCTTAGCTTTCTTCCTCCTACAGACGCCGATGCTTCCAATTCGAATGATCAAGGAAGTGGAAATCCGGTCGCCGGTTGTTCTCCATCGCTGGCGTTTGTCTTCTATCATCTCGCCATCGTCTGATACACTAGTCGTGATCGGAAGCCAGAAGATGCTTCTCTAATCCTGCTTTTATATTTGCCGAGTTCATACAAGAATTTTGTAGATTCTTTTATTATTGGTAAAAATAGTTTGTCGTTGGAGGATGTCAGATATGCTCTTCACACGAGAGAGATCAGACATAAGGCGTCCATATATGTCAGACATAAGGCGATATTGGATTACCTCCACTCAGAATGCTGGGGTCCTTCTCGAGTTGAATCCATTAGAAGAAGCAAGTATTTTCTGTCTATTTTTTATAATTACTCGAGGTTTACTTGGATTTTCATGGTGAAGTAGAAAAGTGAAGCCTTCATGAAGTTCAAGCAGTGGAAAAATTTGGTGGAGAATCAGACTGGGAAGAAGATCAAGAGACTTAGAACAGAAAATGGTGTGGAGTTCTGCAGTTCTGAATTCAACGAATTCTTGCAAGGATGAAGGGATTGCCCATCATCGGACCGTTAGAGACACACCACAGCAGAATGGCGTTGCAGAAAGGATGAACAATACATTGTTGAGGAGAGCAAGGTGCATGCTCTCTAATGCTGGACTAGAGAGGAAATTCAGTGCAAAAGCAGTAAACACGGTGTGCTACCTCATCAACCGTGGACCTCACACAAGTATCGAATGCAAAACTCCTTATGAGGTGTGGTATGGTAAGTCTGCAGACTACTTTTCATTGAAAGTTTTTTGTTGTCTTGTTTACTATCATGTGGACGAGGGTAAGATGAATCCAAGAGCGAAGAAGAGTGCTTTCATGGGTTTTGTAGATGGAGTTAAGGGGTTTCAATTTTGGTCACCTTCTGAGCATAGAGTCATACTTAGGAGGAATTTGATTATTTATGAGAATTCTATGTTTAACCCCATGTCGAAGGTTATTGTTGTTGGAGATAGCAGGAATGTTGATAAACAGGTGGAGCTGCAAACTCGCAAAGAAGGTGAGTTTGAGCACCAAGGTGAAGAGATCAACATGAGAATGTTTCTGATGAGCCACAAACTTTAGAGTCCAGTGTTGGAGCTAAATAGTCTATAGCTTTTGGTAGACCGAAGAGAGCGAGAGCAGGAGTACCTTCAAAGAGGTATGGCTTCGAGAATATGGTGACGTATGTTTTCAAGTGGCTGAAGAGGTGGATGAGGGTGGACCACAATCCTACAGAGAAGTAGTTTCGTCTGGCGAAGCCACTTAGTGCCTTGTTGCAATGGGAGAGGAGATGGAATCCCCTGTTAGGAATAAGACTTGGAAGTTGGTCAAACGTCCACAAGGAAGGAATATTGTTACAAACAAGTGGATCTAGAAGAAGAAGGAATGACTCATTTTGGAAGGGGGCATGAAATTTAAAGCTCAGATAGTTGCAAAGGCTTCTTGTAGAGGAAAGGAGTTTACAACAATGAAATATTCTCACCAGTGGTTAGATGTACTTTGATCAGGGTGCTACTACTAATAGGGGCACATTATGACTTGTAGCTCGAGTAGCTAGACGTGAAGATAGATTTCTTACATGGAGAGTTGGAGAAAGAAATTTACATGACTCGACCATAAGGATTCCAGGTTCTAGAAAAATAAGACTATGTTTGTAAGTTGAAGAAGTCATTGTATGGACTTAACCAATCTTGGCGGCATTGGCACAAGAGGTTTGACAGCTACGTGCTTGAGTTGGGCTACAATAAAAGTCCCTACAATTGTTGTGTATATCACAACTAGGAGATGGATGGTTCCATGATATATCTGGTTCTGTATGTCGATAATATGCTCATAGCTGCGAGGTATAAGTCTGGTATGCAAATGTTAAAGTGGCTTCTAAGTGTTGAGATTGAAATGAAGGATTTGGGAGCTACTCAGAAGATTTTTTGTATGGAGATTTACAGGGATATGTCAAAGAAGAAGTTGTTCTTGTCAAAGAAGAGCTACATCTAGAAGATATAGTTGATGTTTGGCATGTCCTCAATAAAGCCCTTGAATACTTCTACTGCTTCAAATGTTCATTAATCCTCAGATTATACACCTCAGTCAGAGGCTAAGAATGAGTACATGTCGCGAGTCCCATATGCTAGTGCAGTTGGTAGTTTTATGTACTCTATGGTATGCACTAGACCTGATCTTGCACATGCTGTTAGTGTTCTTGGCAGAATGTGAAGAGGATCTTTTGGTACCTTAAGGGTACATATTATCTAGGGATTAACTTCGGAAGTGATACAGAGTGCATAGTGTCTGGTTATTCAGATTATGACTATGTTGGAGATGTTGACACGAGGAGATCGATGACCGGTTATGTATTCACTCTTGGGAGTTCTATAGTGAGCTGGAAGGCAACTCTGCAGTCGAGAGTGCATTGTATAC